CATGCTGTCCTCCAAGGACTGGTCCTTTCTGATAACATGTCCAAAGATGAGAGGTGAAGTCTTGCTATCCTTGCTCCTAAGGAGCATTCCAGCTGTTCTTCCAAGATAGATTTGTTCATTCTTCTGGCAGTCCATGGTATATTCAGTATTCTTTGCCAACACCATAATTCAAAGGCATCAATTCTTCTCTGGTATTCCTTATTCGTTGACCAGATTTCACATGCATATAAGGCTACTGAAAATACCATGGTTTGGGTCAAGCACACTTTAGTCTTTCATCTTTGCTCTTTACCACTTTAAAGAAGTCTTTTGCAGCAGATTTGCCTAATGCAGTATGTAGGCTGAATTCTTTACTCCTGCTTCCATGAATATTGATTGTGGATGCAAGTAAAAATGAAATCTTTGACAACTTCGATCTTTTCTCTGTTTATCATAATGTTGTTTATTGGTCTACTTGTGAGGATTTTTGTATCCTTTACTGTGATGGTTTTTTGTAAGAATTTTTTTTTTTTTTTTTTTTACTTTCTCATTAAAATCTACAAATTAAAGGAAACTAAACAGATGTTTAAAAGAAGAAACAACCTATGAGAAGATAGCCAGCCATTCATTTCATTCCCATGGACAATGGAGACCTTATTGGTGTGTGGGGGTAAAGTGGAGACTGGTGCTGACCATCAACTGCCACTACAGAGCAAATTTCTGCCATACAGGGGGGAGAGAGCTGAGTTAAGCCCCAGAAGACTGTTCTAAACCCCACTCTACCACCAGCCAGCTGTGGAGCTTACTGGCAAGCCACTCCACTTCTCAGGCTTCATCTTTGCAGAACATGGAAATTAGTATGAAGATGTAATATTCCTGTCTTAGCTATACTGTTCAAAGTCCTTATGTTGCCATATGGCATCAATGAACTCTGCTAACCCACCTCTTGCTGTTAATGTTAGTTGCTGTGGAGCCAACCCCTGACTCATGGCAACCCCACACACAAGAGAACAAAATACTGCCCAGTCCTATGCTGCCATCACCTTGATCAGTTGTGGATTGGATCCTTATGATCCTTAGAGTTTTCGCTGGCTGTTTTTAGGAAGCAGATCACTAGGTTGTTCTTCCTAGTCCATCTTAGTCTGGAAACTCCACTGAAATCTGTCCAGCAACATGCAAGCCTGCACTGACAGATGGGTGGTGGCTACAAGAGGTGCACTGGCCAGGAACCAAACCAAGGACTTGTGTGTGGAAGGCCAGAATTGTACCACCAAACCACCAATCTACCTCTTACAGAGGTTTATCTTCCCACAATCTTCAGTCTGAGTCAATTAATACTGTTCTCTCCTAAAATCACTGCTGGCTTCTGAAGCTATGCAACATATTTTTATCTGTGGCAAACAATAGGAATACTTATCCTTGCCACAGGTTAAATAACCAGGATCTGGGAAGAATCTATAGGGAGGAGAGCTCTCTGACACTTACCAGAGTTCGAATAAAAAACTTACATGTGACATGCCTTCAACAATGAAGCACATGGAAAGGAAGCTGTAGTTCTTGGAAAACAGCGTAGCAAAGAGAAGTTCAGTCAGAGCTGTGGTTCTGGTACAGTGTCAGGAAACACTCAGTGGAAAATGAGAAAGGGCCACGGGGGGGAGGGGCAAGACCAAATTGGTCTTATGACTTAGGGAGCCTTGTAACACCACTTCTCCCCTGGCAGGAAATTTTGTCTGCTCTCTAGTATTAATCATACTTAATATTTATACAGCATTTAGCACTTTAAAAAGGACTTTTGAATTCAACAACTCATTTGCTCTAAGAATCATCCACACTTAACTACACTTACTCTTCACTTACTGACTATCCCATTATCCAACATTTCGCATTTACAACAGTAGTAAAAAAATCTACTACCTGAAGGTTATAGCCTAAAGGCAAGGGTGAGAGGGGACTAAAGGCACTGGAGGGGGTCAAGGCCCCTTCCCCTGGGGGATCAGGTGGAAGAAGCCTGGCTGGGAGTGGTGGTGTGAGCTGAAGCAGAGGGCAGCACCATTTGGAGGGGTGGGTCTGTGTAGCCTCAGGGAGGCAAGTGAGTGTGCCTGGGGCAGTGCACAGAGAAGTGCAGTAGGCTCAGCCTAGCACTGCTGGAGCAGCAGTGGGATGAAGCTGATAGACTGGAGGAGCAGGGTGGGATATGCTTGGCCATGCAGGAGGAGGGAGGTGGACCTGGGGGTGGGGAAGCAGGGCAGCTGTGGCCAGGTGCCCAGCCTGGAAGTAGTGTGCGGGCCATCAGACAGAGTGGGCTGGAGGCAACTGTGGCCATGGATGGGCTCCATGGGCTGACCTATAGTGGGGGAGGAGGGGCTGGGGGCTGCAAGCAGCCCCAGGAGCAGGTGGGAGGTCTGTGTTGGAGTTAGAGTAGGGTGAGGGGAGCTAAGTTTGGGTATGGGTTGTGCAAGCTCAGGGAAGAGCTCAAAAGCTCCAGGGAACAGGGAGAGCAGTATTGGGAGAGCAGTGGGCACCTCAGCCAGGAGGCAATAGTCCTGGGAGCAGCCCATGCTGGTAGACTGGGGCCAGCCCATTGGCCCAAGGGGCCCAAGGAGGGGGGCACCCAGGGGTGCAGGAAGTGAACTGGCTGCCCAAGGTGCAGGGGGACAGGTGGTTCTGGCTGTCCAGGAAACTATCTGGAGGAGAAGGGGTCCCAGGAAGGAGAGGGCCCCCCAAAGTACCAAGGACCCAGAGGCATAGGTGCAGGAGGAGGTGGTAACTCTAGGGTGGAGGAGAACACAGGGTGCAGGGGTTGGGGGAGAAGAAGAGCTCTGGGAACCAAGGAGAGTTGGAAGCCACAGCCCAACGGCAGGCTCGGGCCTGCAGGATCCTCTTCTGTCACTTCTGCCTGGGCATCACTGAAGCTACGACTGCAGGGAGGCTGCAGAAGGTAGCAGCAGGTAAGGCAGTTATACAATTTTCACTTAACTCCAACTTCACATAATGACCTAGTCTTTGGACCTAACCATGTCAATAAGTGAGGAGTGGGTGTTTATGAGGCGGGCAGGTAGTATTTTTACTCTTGTTTTACAGATGAGAAAAGAGAGGCCTCATGACTTACCTAAAAGACAGGGCTCATATGGTTATTCCCACACCAGTGCTGATTCCATTCCAGCATAGTATCCTCATTAGAACTAACACAGTGTCACAATGCTAACTGAGGCTAGTAAACATGTTTTCTCAAGGCTTCCATCCAGGAGATGGATCTTTCAAGCCACTTGAAATGCATATAATTGTGAATCTGTGAAATCTGCCATGGCCCAAGCAACCAACATTCTCAGTGGAACTTGGGCTAATTAAAGGTGCTTACTGTGAAGGTTCCATGGAGTGATGAGACACATCCACTCATTAAACCCATGGGGAGAATGGGAGTTCTGCAAGTTTTCCTTTCCATATAAAACCTAAGAACATCTTACATGCACCTTTGGAGCAAAAACAGTGAGACTGGTACACTGAAATACATATTCAATTCCACGTCCACTGATATTTTTCAGGAGACTTTAAAAAATAATTACAAACTCTCCTTCTGGAGACCACAAGCTTCCAAGGGGCTGTCTCTTTTAAGGTTCCAGTCTAAGTGGAAGGCTCGAGACTGCCCAAGGCAGCTCTTCCAGTGCTGGGACTCTGCAATTATCTGAAAACACGGCACCACTGTGGGTCTGGTCCTTCCATGTACAGAATGTGTCCTGGCCACAGTTCTGGTGTTTCATTTACTTCTCTCTGGAGTGTGGACCTGGAGGCCACCTTCTTGGGCATGCCAACCCTCTGCCTATCCACGTAAAGTAGGATGGTGGGTGGGACTGCCAGGACTATTTCTAGAAACTTCTCTTGTTTCCACTTAAGCTTTCTTAGGGGGAGGTTTTAATGTGATTTCATGCTCAATCATAAGGGTAGAGATGTGACATACGCTCTCACAGGACAAAGAAGAAGAGCCTCAAACTAGAGATACTGACCCTATTGTCTGGGCAAGGCTGCAGCCCAATTGCCACAGGTTTAACAATGGAATTACCCTCTAACCAGGTAGTCAGCAGCAAATTAAGCAAAAGGCACAAGTGCTTCCCCACTCCAGGGCTTGGCCTTTCTGTTGTGTGGGTTCTATTATGTTCTCAGTTGTCAGATTCTCACATCTTCCTCAACCCTGCCCTTCTAGAGCCACTATCATGCCTCAGAACCAAGTCCTAGCAGCCTCACTGGGCTCAGTAAGTTAGGAATCTTTGCCAATATCTTAGAGGAGTTATCATCCTTTTCTAAATTAGAATATGTTGCTCTAAAACTGCCAGTAATCTGTCTTGACTAGCAACATCAGTGGGCAGGGAGCTTCCCTTCAGGGAGCATCTGTCTTTGAGTCCTGGGTGGAATTACTTGCATCTAAAAGTTTTCATTCATATGACTGTTGACAACTGTTTCATAACAATGGCAGTGTCTGTAATGGCTAGGAGCATTATTTACAGAGGGTTACTATGGCGACAGAGACTGAAGAAGATATCATGAGTCAGGGTCAGACTGCCCCAACTCTGCCCACTGCCTGAAAATACTGCCAACACTTAAGACACAGGGGGAAAAGTGAAAAGGAAAACCCTAGAAAAACTGCCTGCTTACATCCCCACATTCCCTATAATTTGACAAGAAGTCACAATGCTTACCCATTAGCTTTCTATTCCTAATTACATTTTCAGGGACATGGTCCTGCAGACATAGGTTATGGAAGGAGGGCTGCAGTGAGCCATCAATTCTGTCTGAGAGTGGGTTTTAGAAGCCTATACACATTTGTATTTAGACCCTCTAGTTTCAGTTGCATGTGATGGATCTGGAGTCCAGGGCAATGCCACCCAGGTCCAAGAACTCCCATTATATTCACTAATGTCGCTAGAAGAACATGGCCTTATTTCTGGAGCAGAACCTTCACAAGACAGCTAAAGAAGGGCTGGGGGTCAGAGGTGAAGGTCTGGTCAATGGAGCTCGTTGGCGCTCACCTCCAAGTTGAGGCAGCTTTTGTCTGCAGGCCTATAGTGGCTGGCATCCCCGTCGGCTCTGCGGTGCAGCTCTGGACCGGCTCGAAGGCACAGCTCCCCTTGCTCCTCCCTGTGGTCCTGGCTGAGCTGCCACTCCATCTGATCTCTCAGTTTGGACTGTTAGGTGCATGGGAGGGATTTTGTTTGTTTGTTTGTTTTATTTTAAACAAAAACAAAGGGCCAGAGGGTGGGAAGTGGGGAGGATAAAGAAAATGAAAATGGGTAAGGTAGACGACTGAAAAAACTACCAGACAAAGAAAAGCATGAACAGAAAAACCAACTTAAATACAGTGGCATGAGAGAGTGAAGAGAACAGAATCAAAATGAGGATGAGCAAAATGAAGGGCTGAAACATCTGAAAAGCAAAAAGAGAAAGAGGGAAAAAGAATGCAAAACACCGGTTATGAGGCGCATGCAATGGGGGTGCATGAGTCAGAAAATTAATCGCAAGCATACTACCCATGAAGGATACGGAAACAAGGTTCTCCTTCCTTCCTGTAGGCCGAACAGCAAAAGCCAAAATCCAGGTGGCTTCTGGGTCATGCACCCGAGGGTGATGTGCAGAAGGCAGTCCTTGTGGCCTCTCCACTTTTCCCTTACTGCTCAGAGGGCAGGAGCCGGAGCAGGCCGTCAGAAAGCTCTTCCATCAAAACCCTCCTTCTCTCAGGACTTGTGCCTCTCCCCCATTTGGCTTATCTTCCAGTGGGAGTGGATGGGCCTGGTCTGCCCAGGACTTTTCAGAGCTGTGCTTTGTCCCTTTTGGTAATAAACCCAAGTAGGGGTTCCAATGCTCACTGGCAAGTCTGCTAATTATCCTGACTGTAAAATAAGCTTGTACTTTGTTTTAAATTCCTCATTGCTTCTTCACCAGGTAGCTGGTTGTTTGAGACATCAAAAAAGGAGCAACATAGACTGCGTCGATCCCTATTCCTTCCATTGGGATTAGCCTTGTGTCATGAGGAAAGACCTCTAGACCAAGGGCTGTGGCGCAATTGAAAGTAAGACAGAAAAAGGGCAAAGAAACAAGAAAACTGGAAAGAAAAAAAAAAGAAAAAGAAAAAGAAAAAGAAACCCAACCAATAGAAATGCTCTGGCTGACACTTTGGGCTTTAGTACAAGGCAGGCTGAAATCATAACCAAGCAGCCGTGAGCAGAGTGAGCTCTAGAGCAGCAATGCCAGCGAGCAGGAGGAAGAGCAGGGCAGAACGGGGAGGCAAGCCGAGGAGCCCCCTTACCTGCAAGTCTGCGACCAGCTCCTTCCCCAGGTTCCCAATGGGGGAGTCCCGGGACATGGAGGTCACAGTGGAGAGGAAGCTGGAAGATTCAGTGAGGTGGGGCAAGGGGGCCAAGTCTTCCAGGTGTTCCCTCAGGCCATCCCCAATCCGGTTCACCTGCTCCAGGAAGGCCTGAAGCTCCTTCCTAAAAGCCTTCATCTTGGAGTTGATGGTGCCCAGCAGCTCAGGTTCCTCCCAACCACCCTGGACACCAGGCTCAGCAGCATGCAGTTTGGCATCGTAGATCAGGCTGTCGGTGTCGGTAATGAGGCATTCCACCAAACGCCCGAGCCGCTCTGCCTCCTGTTTTATGTTCACCAGGCACTCAGGGTCCTCTTGGGCCTGCATGAGTGTGGGTGGACACAGCTCACTAGTCTCAGAGGGCTTCCCACTACCAAAGCCTGATGTCTTCTCAAAGGTCTCCTCCGAGTCACTCTCACCACCAATGGGGCCTTCCCTCTTGGGCTGGGGCAGCCGGCTTTCCTCCCCGTCACTCTCCTTCTTGCCCATGTCACTCTCAGCATCACTGTCACGGGGGCTCGGGGCATGTAGGCCCAGGTGTGCAGCCAGGTCATAGCGCTGCACACTGGAGAGCAGCACGCGGTTCTCGTACTGCAGCTTCAGCACCTTCCCACTCAGCTCGTTGATCTGTAGTCTCGCTGACTTGAGCTCCTCCTGCAGGGGGAGACCTGTGCCCCCATCCCGGCCTGGGCTCTCATCCAGCCATCCAGGCTCTGGCCGTGGCTCAAACTTGAACTTGCTTAGCTCGTGGGTCAGCTGTCGGTTGTGGTCCTCCACCTCAGAGATGGACCTCCTGAGCAGCTCTGCTTCCTCCTCCACAAACTGGAGGTGCCGGCGGAGCTCTGAAGAGGACTCAGTGGCATCAGCGAAAGGTGAGGTAGGAATGCTTGGGGGGTGGTCCCTGCTTGCACATTCACACTCGTACTGGCCCCTCATGTCCTCCATCTCTGCTTTGAGGCCTCGGTTCTCCACCTCCAGCTCAACAATCTTGCGGCCTAAGATGTTGGCTTCCTCCTCCACTAATTTGAGCCGCAGTTTTAGCTCAGCCTCTCTGGTGCTTGGTGGCCTGCCTGCCTCTCCAGTTGGGAGAGGGCTGTCCACATCGCCATAGAGGGACTTGTACTTCTGGAGCTCCTGCTCCAGCTCATCCTTCTCCCTCCCTAGCTTGGCCATCTTTTTGCGCATCAGGGAGGCTTCCTCTTTGGCAAATTGAAGCTGGCACTTCAGATCAGCACTGTCGTCCTGCCAGGAAAGCACAGCCCAAGAGAAGATTATTTGAAAATACCACATGTCAGTGTTTCTGTTGATTTCCTTCACACCTCTCCCCAACATCCACATACACAAACACAAACCACCACTCTTTCTGTCAGTGCTGTTGAGTTACATGTAAAAAGGAGCTAGGACAAAGCACAGGAAGCCAGGGGCCTTATGGAAGGGATATACTCAATACCTATTGCTCTGTGCTTTGTCAAAAAAACAAAAGAAACAAAATATTAATTTGGGGGGGAAAAAAGCACATGAAAACCATTACACAAGTTGTAAGTGAAGAAGGAGAAAATTAAATGGGATCCAACACCCATCCATAATGTGAGGATTCTAATCACTTTGTGGGTCCAACCTGGTGAACTGTCAGCATCAGTAAAAGAGATACCAGAATGCCTTGCCAAAGCTGGATGCAGACCAACAGGAAAGTCATCATTGTTTCTATCCTGTGGCCACTTATTCCCTCCATAGGGTACAGTCCTCACTCAAACTCCCCACAACCCACAAGGTAGTCCAGGATGGCAGTGTCAGGTGACCCGGAATTGGAGCCCACCTTTCCACAGACCTGCTGAGGTAGCTGCATTAAGTCAATTCACCTCTCCCCCTTCTAGTCTCTCCATGCCCAACTTATGACAAGGATGACATGAAGACAAAAAATGAGATGAGATCCACGTGTGTGCTTGGGAGGTGAGGTACCATTAGCATCTTATGGTACAGAACACAGGGCCCTGAATGTAGATGCCGGGCACTCACAACCTTTTACCATGCAAGTTTGACTTCCAAGACTGTGGTTACGGTCCTTTCCCATTAGTCACTGTAACACAGCAGGAAATTAAACTTAGACTCTCAAGGCCAGGAGTTCAGTGTCTGATCTTCTAAGATACGGTTCTCATTGAAATACAGAAGATTCTGGAGGTCACTGAAGCATAGAACTTTTGCTAGTAAAAGCCCACATCTCTTGGCTATGGGCCAAGACACATTGTTGTTGTTTTTTAAAGCAGACTGGCAAGTTGACTTTACCTTGTCAGAGCAGGTCTCAATAATCTGAGTTGCATGAATTCTGTTTTGGTCTTACACCAATATTTTACTACTCACATTCAATGAGTAGGGAAAATGGCCAGTGTCATGAATCATTCCTGCTTGACAGACTAGCAGCAGTTTCAAAAGGCTGTCATGGGAGTAAAGACTTTATAAAGTCTCCCCTCACCAGGCAGAGAAACACATCAAAAATATACTCTGTGCCACTCAATCCTCACCAGTCCCAGGAGAGGAGAGGTGTCAAACTAGGCTCTGCAAGCTGTTAACCAGTCTCTGGAGCAAGCCTACCCTCCCAGGAGAAAATGCATTCTTTCGATGTTCATTTGTGCTCTAGTGGTCTCAGAGAGTCGATACAACTTTCACACTATGCCCATCTTCTGCCATTTGGCAGGAAGATAAAGTCCTCCCTTGGGGCCTCCCAACTTTCCACTTTTCACCCTGCCTTGATGTCTCCTTCCTCACCAAAACCTACAGAAGGAAAAACACAATGTGACAAAGAAGACTCAAGGAACAATCTCAGACTAACCATGAAGCCAATCCCTGGAGCAGGCATGCCCTGACACCAAGGTTGCTGTGAAGGTCAAATGAAATTGGTAGAGCAAAGTGGCATGTCAATCACCATACTCTAGCACCCTGGAATGAACTTTCTTCTTGGTCTGAAACATACTCAATATTGGGTAAAGGAGCAGTAATTCTGCTTTTTTTTCTCTCTGTGCCTTGTTGTTGTTGTTGTTATTTGCCGTCGAGTCGGCCCCGACTCATAGCGACCCCTCCTTGGGTTTCCGAGGCAGTATCACTACGGAAGCCTTAGGAAAATAATATATAAGTGTCATTGGTAGGCAAGCAAGCGTCTTCATGTTCTAAGATGTTTTCACATTAAGGATTTGTTTGGCTTTGGTTAGGAGAACATGAAAACAGTGACTGTGACTAAGGAGAAGGAAGACTGTCTGTTTCACTCAAAACTGTCTAGAACTAAATATGCTATCATCATCATTATGATGGTCAGGATCTGCTTTAAAAAAGCCTACACAGAATATATGGGTAGCGCAGTGCCTAAGGCACTTGACTGCTAACCAGAAGGCTGTCGATTCAAACCCACCAGCCACTCCTCGGAAGGAAGATGGGGCAATCTACTTCCGTAGCAATACTGCCTCGGAAACCCAAGGAGGGGTCACTATGAGTCGGGTCCGACCCAACAGCACATAACAATAACAACAACAACAAAGATATACATCGCATTTCATTCTAACACTTAAGGAAAAGCATGCTGGCATATATGTTGATTCACTCATTCATTCATTCAGTTAGCTATTTACTGTGTATCTACTTATAAAGAAGTTGGCATGTTACTTTTAAACAACCCCAGCTTCCTAGAACTTTAAAAAGCAGAACAGTCAAAAACACATTTTATTTTTTGTTAAATAGAAGATTTGCAAGAAATCTAAAAACCACATGTGTTGTTCACATGAAATTTGGAGTTTAAATTAAGCTAAAATACTATTAGTGAAGACAGTTTTTTAGCATTTTATAAATGAATTCATTTGGGAGTTAAACGTTTGAGGCAGGAAGGCAGAGACATTCCAGCCCCATCACTAACTTGATAGCCATTGTCTGTCCATTGTCCAAAATCTCCTAAGTGAGCCTATCCTCACTTTGAAGCTGGGAAATTCAATTTTTGCTGAGAATGGCAGCAGGACCAATGAACAGAATGTTCTTCAGCTGCAGGGAAACTCTACTCCACCCTCTGCCATCTCAAGCCTGAGACTCCAGAGACAGGACAGACAAAGCATGGCAGTGGTATGCATTATGACCAGTGCCCTGGCCCTGTTTGCAACGGTATTTGCAAATGGAGAGGCTGGTGACCAGGTGAAGGCCAGGGTGAGGGAAATCAGGGCATGGGGCAGAGTATCCTACACATTTCAGGAAGCTTTCTACTCAAACCAAGAGTCCTGCTATTGCATCAAGTCTTGAGCAAGGAGTCTCAGGAGATCTTTCCTGATAGTTTTCCCCTACAAATGGAACTGAGAATTTGGGCAGCAGGTATTATCTCTGAAAGACACATGAAAACTGAGCTTTCCTGAGGGCTCTGCTATTGTGGATGTTATATGTGTTCCTCTGCACCTCCTAAAACAGATAGACAACTCCAAAGAGATCCAAATCACCTTGATTTCTGGAAACCTTGAATCTTGCACATACACCCATCTTCCCCACTCTCCACAACTCTATAAACCATAGCAACATATCTCACTATTAAACTTAACCCATTTCTTTGTCAGGGTTGCCAAAAGGAGCAGTTACAGAAGCAAGACCCTACAGAGTATCTGATTTATGGGTTACCAGAGGACTGATAACTTGTCCAAAAATGCTTCTTGCTCCTTAAAGAAAGAGTACACAAACACCAGGAATTCTAACATAGGATTGAAGCATGCTGTTATTTCTAATCAGCACCCATGCACAAGTAGTTTTGCCACCAAGACTAAAGCAGTTTCTGAAAGAAAGGCAATCTTTGAAGGAAATGTGTGTCTCCTTAACAAAGGGTCAGATTTGGTCCATCTGGTGGAAAGCGCTGAGAGCAAAGGACAGGGCACTTCTGTGGGAAGAAGGTGGATGGAGGGAATCTATGTTCAGCCTCCTCTGAAAGTGGGAAGCCACTCATACCATGATGGGAGAATCACAGCCTCACTCAAACAGTAGATGGCTGGATACTCATCTTATCTTATAATCATAGACTTTCCACAATTCTGCCAAGACTCTAGGAGAGGGGTCTAGGTCTCTAAGCATCACGCTATATCCTAAGTATAAGGATATCAAGCTCTGGTTTCAAGAGATTAACAGACAGCTCCCAAGAATGCAGAATGAGAGCAGAAGGTTGAGTCAAACTTTCCACATGAAACTTCCCCTTCTGCAGGCAGAGAATGCAAGCATGGTATGAAGGGGAGGACACACACAAGATCACCATTACCACCACCAGCAGCTGGAAAAGGCCTTGTCAAGCAACAGAAATATATCAGTGTTGGTATATATTCTTTGGCTTGCAAGTCTGAGTCTGCTGTCTAACCAGCACCCCAAGCAGGTGGACTGCTCTTGTTCCTACCTTGCGCTGGGACACCAGTTTCCTTTGAGTTTTGGTTGCAGACCTGCAGGTCCCAAGGCGCTCCACTCCACCATTCTGCTGAACAGAAACTCCTCCTCTCAATAATGCCACAGACAGAGTGGAGTATCCTCCCCCTCCAGAGCACATGTCCAGAGCCTAAGGCTCCTGGTCTTAGCCTGTTTTACCCACTAACAGATGAATGAAACTCCTGGCTGTGCATTTCCCAATGGGGCAGTCATAACTCTTTGAAGAAAAGGTCTTCACTGGTAAAGAGTAAGTTTAAAGTATGCTGTTAGCCTAGGAAGGTTTCAGCACCCTGCAGTGGGCCAACAGATTTTATTTTCCCTGGTATTAGTGGATTCCACAGTGAGATTTGGGGAGTAGAAAGGGTGTAAGAAAAATGTTAATCTGTGGCATCCCTGCTGCTCATACCAGTTTGGGCTCTCCTTGAATGGCACTCTGGGGATCAGTGAATTTGGAGAAACTAAAGGCTAAGATACTTGCCTGCTAACCAGACAGCTGGTGGTTCAAACCCACCAGCCACTCCTCGGAAGGCAGCCACTCCTCGGAAGGAAGGTTGGGCAATCCTACTTCCGTAGTGATACTGCCTCGGAAACCCAAGGAGGGATCGCTATGAGTCGGGGGGACGATGGCACATAACAACAACAACAACAACAACAAAGGATATCATTAAGTTTAGAGTTCACAAGGGGGCAGGCACGGCACTGAGGCTTAGAGCTTAGCTCACGGGACTTAAGGCATCTCTCTAATCTCTCTAATTACTGCTTGCTTAGAAAGTTCAGTGAGTTGATATCCCAATAAAGCCATTGTTCTCTCTAACACCTAATACTAGCAGCAATTTACAAAAAAAAGGAAGAAGAAAGAAGTAAGGAATCCAGTAAAACAACTTTGCAGAAGAGGTAAGAAAAGTTCTGAAGAGCAAACACATGTTCAGAGAAGGGGCTAAGATTTTACCATCTTTCAGTTGGAATATTTTAATTTCAATAAAAACAATTTAAGATATTGTTCAGCATGGTCATTAAAAAGAAGGCAACGCTCAAAACTATGCCTTATGAATGACCAACACTATAGCAGCTGTATTGCTTTACTGTGTGAATGGCTGTGGAGGCCAACATACCTTTTAGCAATTATGAGTCTTGGCAGACCTTTGAACTGCATCTCATTTTTATATTTAAAACAAAGCCAGTTTGTTTCTCTCTTTCTTAAAGAAAATTATCAGCTTATCATTACCAGACAGAGGGGTTTGAAAGGAAACTTTTCTTTTTCTTTTTTTTTTTTTTTTTTAATGTTTTAAAGGTAAAACTAAAGCTTTTTTGGAAAATTCAAGATTAGGTGATTTTCTTCTTGTTGTGTGCCACTGAATCAATTCCAACTCATAGCAACTCTATATGGCAGAACCGATTAGGAGACATAAAACCTCTGCTTACCTGGTTCAATGTTTTCTTTTCTTTGTGCATTTCCCGACTGCCTCTTCTTTTCAGGGAACTCTGAAATAGATCCAAGTGACATTCTGTTACTGAGAGCCAGGCACTTGGCAGACTGTCACCACAGTTAGGGTAGACACAATGGATGAAGGCTCTTTCCTTCCCTGGAATCAAGAAACAACTTAGGGTCAATATTTAAATGCAGTTGAATATGCTTGGCAAGGTCCTTGAATTATAAGAGGCTTTAAATACTAATTATTCCACTTGGATTATTATTTAATAATTCATGTTTAATGAAAAAGAAGGGTGGGTTGGATAACTTACAACAGTAAAGATAGGAGAAGAAGAAGAAAAAGGAGGTTTTGGACATAAATATGCAATTTTTTCTAGTGCTGTTTACCTTCTAAATTATGTTTTACTTGAGCTAATCTCAAAATTAATTGATGCTTCCTGGAGCTTATAGGTAAGTGGCCAGATAAAGGAGTGGTAAGGAAGGGAGAATGGTGGCCTGTGTTTATAGAGAAATCTAATTTAGGTTGCAAAACTCTCTATGAATAAAAGCAAACCCAGTTGCTGTCAAGTAGATTCTAACTCATGTGATCCCATGTGTGTCAGAGTAGAATTGTGCTCCTTAGGATTTTCAATGGCTGATGTCTTGGAAGTAGACTGCCAGGTCTTTCTTCTGAGGCACCTCTGTGTGGACTCAAAACACCAACCTTTCAGTTAAGAGCCAAGCATGTTAACTGATTCCACAAATAGCCCATTTCAATTCCTGAGTAAAGTTCAGAGGCATCATGGTGTTCATATCTGTGTGAGTTGGCTGTGACTATGTCCTATAACGGGCTGGGTCCTAACTAGTTGACATGCATTCCAGGGGCGCCTTAGCTGCTCTAAGCAAGAAATTGAACACATGCCTGAAATAAAAACATGAATATTGATACAAGGGCCAAGTGTTGTCTGAAATAGAATTACAAAGACACAGGACAGTTCCTGCTAAGGTAAAGTATGAAAACAGAAAAAAATGACTGCAGGAAGAGAGAAAAGCATGCTAGGGGAAGAAAAGGCATTTGATACCTAAAAAGATTAAGTTAACCCTGAGAAAGTTGGAAGAAAGTCTAGAAAGTAAAACTTTGTTGGACATCACTCTCATTTTTGGCACATGTGTAGGTGGGAGGGGATCATCCCTGATATCCACCGTCTCCCTCCTACATCACATCCAGTCTTGGTGCGATGACCTTGGGCCTTCAGCATTGCATCCTGAAGTGGATGCAGGGCCCTGATCCTCTGCTTGGTTGCTCTGCTCCTCTTCCAAACAACCCAGTCTGGAAAGGAGACTCTTGTGCAAATCACTTATATCACAGTTGGAATTTAAGTTAACTCAGTCATTACTGTCTACATTTTAAGCTTTTCACTCTCAGAATTGCCAAGCCTATTCACTTATGGAAGGAATTTCAGATTAAGCAACAATTAGAAACTGTTGTAGTTGTAGCTGCTGTTGAGTTGGCACTCAACTAATGGCAATCCCCTACACAGCAAAATGCTGCCAGGTCCTGAGTCACACTCTGTGATCAATTGGGGAATAGACACTTGTGATCCATAGGGTTTTCACTGACTGATTTTCAGAAGCAGATCATAAAGCCTTTCTTCTGGAAGCTCCATTGAAACCTGTTCAGCATCATAGCAACATACAAGCTTCCAATGACAGATGGGTGGTGACTATACATGAGATGCATCAGCCAGGAATCAAACCCAGGTCTCCTGTCAGTGAAAATCTACACTGAACCACTACTGCCTTAGTACTTAAAATCTAACTGTCCTTTGGCTCCTAGGAGACTACAGGCCTGGAGGCCTGGGGTAAAAATAGGTAACAGAGAGCAAGACCTCTAGGCAAAGAGATGAAGATTGTAGAATCAGCATGATAGATCAGGTGCTCCCTAGTTATCAAAGAGGAGTGATGGTATCTTGTCTCTAAACTCTAGCTGCATAAATGGCTTTTAGAATCAAAGGCCTAAGAATTCAAGCCAGTTTTTTTTTTTTTTTTTGGTAAAAGCAGGGTCAAACTATAAAGAGAAACTATCTCCTTTATCAGGTAAAGTTAAGCATGGCTTCAAAATAACTTGTATTTTCCTTCATAGAATAGGTCTTCCGTGATCACTCTTGTTGTAGTAAGGGAGTTTCTTTCCTTTGAATGAACTGAGTGAGATGAATGTTTGTGATGATTCACTACAGAGAAGAGTTACAGAAAAGAAGTAGCAAGGAAGACTGTTCCTGAGACCGCACCATGAAGGATTGAATTCTGGGGCTGAGCTCCAGAACGAGAACTTCTGCACCTCATCACTTCCTCCTGAGGAATGATAAACAGATGCTGTGAATGCTGAAAGAAAACCAGGGATCTGGGAGTGAGACAGAGCTAAAAGTGGGAATAAGAGTTTCTTAAAGGCTCTTCTGACTCGTGGGTTGCAACATTTCAATGCAGGAGAAAGGAGCACACTGTGTAAGCTTGGTAGGAGGGGCAGGAACCTGTGCCTGAGTCCTCCGAATCCATCTGATGTGTCTCCCCATTACCAGCTGTTCTAGTAAAGTAGTCATAAGACTGCCTCTGAGTTTTGTGAACTTCCTGGCAAATCATCAAATATGTGAGGAGCCATGAGACTCCCAGTAATATATCACACAGTGTTTCGCTGCTATTCATAAGGTTTTCAAGGGCCAACTTTTTCAGAAGCAGATGGCCCTGTCCTTCTTCTTAGTCTTTCCTAGTGCAAAGAGTGGGAATTAGAAAACTGAAAGGTAAGAACACACTCAGCATTTCTCAAGCTGAAGGAACTGAAGGAAAAATTCAAGCCTCAAGTTGCAATACTGAAGGATTCTATTGGCAAAACATGTAACAATGCACAAAGCATAAAAAGAAGATGGAAGGAATACACAGAGTCACTGTACCAAAAAGAACTGGTTTATGCTCATCTATTTTGGAAGGGAGCATACGATCAAGAATGGATGGTACTAAAGGAAGAAGTCCAAACTACACTGAAGGAACTGGCAAAAAACAAGGCTCCAGAATTGATGGAATATCCCCTGAGATGTTTCAAAAAACAGATGCAGTGTTGAAAGTGCTTGCATGCTTATGCCAAGAAATTTGGAAGACAACTACCTGGCCAACCAACTGGAAGAAGTCCATATTTATGCCCATTCCAAAGAAAGGGGATCCAATAGAATACAGAAATTATTGAATAACACATTAATATCACATCACATGCAAGTAAAATTTTGCTGAAGATGACTCAAAAATGGTTGCAGCAGTACATTGACAGGAAACTGCCAGAAATCCAAGCTGGATTCAGAAGAGATTATAATTCAACTCACTGCCATCGAGTCAGATCTGATGCACAGCAACCCCTCCCTGGGTTTCTGATGCAGTATTGCTACGGAAGTAGATTTCCCAACCTTCCTTCCAAGGAGTGGCTGGTGGGTTTGAACTGCCAGCCTTCTGGTTAGCAGTCAAATGCCTTAGGCACTATGCCACCAGAACTCCCAGAAGAGGTTATAGAAGGAGGGATATCACTGCTAATGTCAGATGGATCTTGGCTGAAAGCAAAGAATACCAGAAAGATGTTTACCTGTGCTTTATTGACTATGCATTCAACTGTGTGGATCACAAGAAATTATGGATAGAATAGTTAATTGTGCTCATGATGAACTTGTACTAGACCAAGAAGCGACATTCAAACAGGACAAGGGGACAATGCATGGTTTAAAATCAGGAAAGGTGTTCATCAGGGTTGTATCCTTTTAGCATACTTATTCATCTGTATGCTACGCAAAATAATCCAAGAAGTTTGATTATATGAAGAATGTGGCCTCAGGATTGGAGGAAGGAAGACTCATCAACAATCTGTGATATGTGGATGACACAACCTCGCTTGCTAAAAATGAAGATGACTTGAAGGACTTACTGATGAGGATCAAAGAATACAGCCTTCAGTACGGATTATAACTCAACATAAAGAAAATAAAAATCTTCACAACTGGGCCAATAAACAACATCACAATAAAGGGAAAAAACATTCAAGTTGTCACGGGTTTCATTTTATTTGGATCCACAATCTATGTCTATGAGGCAGCAGTCAAGAAATCAGACAATGTATTGCACTTGGCAAATCTGCTGCAAAAGACCTCTTTAAAGTGTTGAAAAGCAAGGATGTTGTTTTGAAGACTAATGTGCATCTAAGCCATGGTATTTTCAGTCACCTCATATGCATGTGGTAGCTGGACAATGAATAAGGAATACTGGAGAACTGATACATTTCAATTGTTGTTTTGGTGAAGAATATTGAAAATACAATGGACTGCCAGAAGAATAAACAATTCTGTCTTGGAAAAAGTACAGCTGGAATGTTCCTTAGAAGTGAAAATGGCCGGAGTTTGTCTCACATACTTTGGCCATGTTGTCAGAAGGGGACTGATCCTTGCAGAAGGATATCATGTTCGGTAAAGTAGAGGGTCAGCAGAAAAGAGGAAGATCTTCAACAAGATAGACTGATACATTGGCTGCAATGATGGGCTCAAGTACAGCAACAATTTGTGAGGATGGTGTGGGACCAGGCAGCATTTCATTCTGTTGTGCACAGGGTCGCTATGAGTTGGAATCACCTTGATGTCACCTGAGAACAACAGCAACAACATGCAACCCCCAACACAGATCCCATTCAAAATGACAACTAAAATGAAAAACATTTCAAAGATTAAAGTTACTAAAGAAATTTTCAGGGCCAATGTGAAGGAAACCATAAAACTTTGGTGACAGACATAAAAGAATGCTTAATGCAGCCAGTTGGGAAGACCCTGTGTTGTAAAGATGCCACATTTCCCAAAATAATTTTATAATTAAAATATAATTTCAATCAAATCCACCACACAGGCACACATAATTTGCGTGTGTGTAGTAAGAGGATAAAAGAATTGACAAAATGATTCTAATATTTATCTAGAACTGTTGTGATGTGCCTTTGAGTTGGCCCCGACTCATAGCGACCCCTCCTTGGGTTTCCGAGGCAGTATCACTACAG